GAGGTTTTCTCGCAGATTGTCCAGAGACTGGCCGTCAATTATTAACTGATTCATGTACCTTGGTGAGATAAACAGATAATAAAGCTTAGATAAAGTACACACGTATAGTATTAAACTGATTTTGTAGGGCGCTGTCTCCTCTCTCATCCTGGTGGGGTTGTTAGCAATGTGGGGTACCAGCCTCAGGTACTTGCTGACTGTGTAGACATGTGGTGGGTAGTACCCTCTCAGGTCTTTGACAAATAAACCTTTCCACACCAGCTGACTGCCCCAACCATCTGTTGTCAAATCTCTTATAAGTCATACAGTTATCCCACTTTCCCCTTCCACCTCCTCACCTGCATCTCATTCCCTCCTGCCTGCTTGCCTGCTTGTCTTGTGGCCTGCCTGTCTGCCTACCTGTACCTGCCTGTAAGACATTTCTTCAATAAATTGCTGAACTCGGCCAAGCTTTATTTTGCACTTACTTTATATATGGGGTATGCCACAATATCAATTATTTACAGTAAAATTTCATATATGGTAGACCTTGTAGAAAATAAAAAAAAACATTGTTGTGCTTTGTTCTACCTCTGGTTGGGATATGTTAAGAGCTAAAGCACTTTTGGGGTCCTTCCTTCCCTCTAGCCTATCATCGTGCTGCATGTCTGCATCTGGGTCCTTCCCCTGTTGCCATTCTCCCACATCTCTGTGACACGTGTAAATACAGTGTCTGTGTACTGGGCTCTTAGTGGTGCTGTATGGCAGGTGATCTACATACAGTGCTGTCCCTGAATGCACCTTGTGTCTCTGATGGAGGACTGAAGCTGCTGCTGCTGTGCTAACATGCAGCTTTCGTACTACGCAGCCTGTTTAGACATGAATTACAAAAGCGAAAATACATCTCGCACTATGAGCTGGCCACAGTGGATTTTAAGATAGCCTACATAGATACCAGATTAAAAATTTGTTTGAACTTTTTTATTTTTTTTATTTTTTATTGACAGCCACTACAACAATCTCTGGCTCCTCTCTTATTCTGATGGGGTTGTTGTTGTACCCCAACGTGAAGGCGTGAAGTGGATGTTGTTTTGAGTGATGTCTCAAAAATTATGTATGGTGTATTGCCATGACATTTAGTACATATTTTCAATCCCCTCGCATGATGAACTATATGTTTGGCTAAAAAAAAGTCCCATCAGTCTCAGTTGTACTTTGCGTTTAGTGATAATTAGCAGTTACCATGCTAACATGGTGAACATGACATACTACGTAATTCGACCTGCATATCATGGTTGATTACACCTTTATTAAAAAATAAATAAAAACAATGTATGGTTTTTGAGGTCAGAGCCAGGTGGACAATTTTACTTGGAAACTACCTTCTGCCCACAAACATGTCACCAAAAATTGAACAAAGCCCAACAGTCTATAGAAGAAGATAATTCTCTCCAAAGATGTTTACACATGAGTTACAGTAAGTAGTGGGTTTTTCTTTTACTTGATTTTGATTAATAGCTGACTAATAGCACATTTATTCAAGCCACAGCAGCTAAACTATATTGACTATTTAAATCTCCCAACATGCCAGCAGGATCTAATGTTAATTATAGTTCTGTGTTCTTCTACACATCCATCACACACAGTCCAGGTTCATACAGTTCATACAGTTTACTCCATCCTGTCAAGTACAGTTTTTAGTTTTGCTGCTTACAGTATTTGCTGTAAAGACATGACTGCGCACATGGGAAGCAGCCTCACTAATCATTACAGTAAATTGTTAAGGAAAACATTAATACATCAATACAGCACATAATAATATGGACAGCTCGCTCTGCTCCACATGATTTAAAAGACAATATGAGGCGCCGGTAGAGGAGGAATGAAATGTCCATGCGGGTGCAGGTATCTAAACCAGAGTTAATGTTCTCCCTGTATGAATTCACATAGTGGATGTGTATTTGTGGTTGTATTGCCATGGCAGAGAAACAATATAGATAGTTGAAGTACATGTAAAAAAAAAAGATCTAATTTGTTTAAGATTGCAAGGTAGACACGACTACCAGCTTGCACGACTCAGCTCAAACCTCACTGATGGATTGATGGCTTGTTTAGGCTCGTTGTTTTTTACAGAAAGTCTCTTTTTTGTCCAAGAGGGGGCAGTAGATGCTTGTAGAAAAGACCAAACAAATATTATGGAGCCATTATTATTTTGAATCATTCAATAAAATCACCAAAGCACATAAATGCTGTCTGGCATTTAAGTGTGCACAGTGATCACTAATAATGATGACTTCTGACATTACCTGATTTTAGTGGAATACAGATTAAAACTGGTGACTGTCTGTATATAATGCGGCCCAACTTAAAATATTATAATTACCAGTTTTGCAAATTACAAATATACTGTGTAAGATGAGAAAAATAAAATTCAAATAAAACTCATCTGGCCAGAGAGGGGTGTCCAGTGACCCATCAACCCTGCAGGCTGCCTGTCATCTGTCTGAAACAATGCTGATGCTGTTTCTGCATCCATGATGTCTACAATTGTTGTGTTTTTACAAAAAAGGTTTATTTTTGGGTCAACAAAACTCTTATTATCAGACCTTCTTATTTTTCAAACCCTCTTCTGGGAAATTACTCATTTTGTATTAAGTATAAACAACTTAAAATGTAAAACTATGAGAGTGCTGAAACGACTGGTTGATTAACTGATCAACAGAGAATTATCATTGACATTATCATGTAATTTGATAATTGATGAATGCACTCCTGACTGTCCCTCATTCTCACGTGAGAGGATTTTGTCATTTTGAAGACTCTGACTTGGGCTCTGGGAAATTTTTATGGACTTTTTCTTTGGCATTTTAAGGAATAAGTGCTAATAGATGAGCTTCTGTGAGAGTAAACAGACTTTATATTTACCAAAATGAAAGCAAGAGCAACTGATCATTATGGTAAATTATTTGAATTTAGGTTTCCTGGTTGACATGTGATACATGCAGCAGGCCATGCCACATCCCTGTATTACGCTACCTGTGTAATATACTTATGTATTATCATTTTACTGTACTTTTGCTAGCTTTTATTGGCATTATTTGTACCTCGAGGACAATTTAAAAGAAGCAGTCCCCTTTGCGCTGTGTTGGAGTGGATGAAGCAGAGAGAGCGAGGGGGAGAGAGAGCATACCCCCACACACCCTCATATATACACACAGCACACAAACCTCACACAAATCTTTTCTGTAGTAAAGGCAGATGAATCAGTGCTTTGTGGTCGTGTTACAGGGGAATACTGCTGCTGCCATTCTTCAAAAAACCTGATGTGATCTCAGACCAGTTCAGCTCCCAAGAAAAAAAGGGATGTTTGATGCATTTGTGCAAAGAGGACGAATAATTATTAATAGTAGAAAATATAGTAACTATTTTCTACTGGACACTGTACAGATATGACTGCAAACCCTGTTCCTGTAGTAAACAGTGGTACTGTAAGAAATGGCTACTACTGATACAATATGAGACTAGAAGAAATAACTGCAAATTTGCTTCTTAACGCATCCTAAAACTGGCTTTCATTAGGGGGGCTCACACTTCCTTGCACATGTATGCTGTATCTTTATCCTGTTTCAGCCAATAACTTAGTTTCTAAAGGTTTTGGCCGCATCTTCTTGTCAAACAAAAACCTTGGAAAAAGCCAAATGTGCTGTATTTGTAACAGGTGTGGGCTGCTCTCATAACATCCACAAGTTTACCCTCACGTCACTTCTAGTGTGATCAGGTGCCTCCTCAAATAGATCAGCCCTGGAGTTCCAACAGATCCCCACCGGCCTCTTTGTGTGTGTGTGTGTGTGTGTGTGTCTTGTAGGGGTGCGGTAAGGGGGATGAAGAGGGTTTGTGGAGGCGTGGTCCCATGCGTTGCGCGTTGCTAAGCGCAAATTTGGCATATAAGCGCAAAATGAGCAGCGGCCCCATGCAGCCGGTAGCGCACTGAGGGACCTGAGGAATTCAACAGGTACCTACAGACATTTGTGAGCTCTCTGTCTTCCAGCGTGGATGTACAGCCTGTTTGAGAACCGACTGCCTGCACTCATTTTGTGTGATGGATGGATTTAAAGGCTCCCTGGATTGGAAAACTGTCACTCTGCAATAATCTCAAGGCGTTCTGGCATCCGGAGTATTGCACCTGAGAGATATTTTGGCGGAATTTAAAGGTAAACTGGCCCTATACATTACGATCCAATACAAATGACATAATATTATTTAGGACCTGTGTGTGTGTCTTTGTCAGTCACAGAGCAATCTTTATCACTTTTCGTCTTTTAAAAGTATTCCTATGGCATCAATAGAATCATAATGTAGAAATAAACATATATAAGCAATATTCTCTGTTAGGTTAAACTTATTGGAACTGTTTTCATGTAAAGAAAGTATCACTGCAGTATCGTAGTACTTGAAGGGATCATTAAAAGAAAAGGGTCAAAGGCGTGCTATAATTGAATCCGTTTTTATATCAAATTAAAATGCCTTCATGCACTGCATATTAGCACATACAGTACAGTAATTCGCGCATGCGCACTAAACCTCCTGCTCTGTAGCGTAACGTGTGAAAAGTAAGTTTACACTGGTCCCACTGTGTGTAGGGATGCAGTGACCTGCAGATGCACTCAGACTGCTGAGAGCTGTGTTAGCCTTACTGTTTGAAGTGAAGTCCCCCTATAATTACAGCATTATTAAACAGAGACAGAGGACAGATTCAGGGTGCCTTTGGCCTCTTTCATAAAGATGCTGTGGTGAAGGTGAGCTTACTAAGGAGGGAGAAAATTAGTATGTACACTGGGGTGAATGGTTATGCAAAAAAAGTGCTTTACATATCACATATTAAACAGCTGCATGGAAACCGTGTTCTCATATGCAACAAGTAAACAGTGTGAACGAATAAAGCAGAAATTCAAACTCATGCTATTCTACTTAAACATGCACTCTCTGTTTTTTGCAGACAACAAAAAGTATTCTGATTCAGCTGCAGTATTGTTTCCATCATGAAGAGGTCTCTTCCTTTCCCGAGCTGGGTCAGAGCAGCGAGCTTGTTCCTGTGTTTCACCCAGACTGTCCTGGCTATGGTCCTCACCAACTCCACACGACTCGAATCCATCCTGGACAAGTACAGGGACAAGGATGAGCAGTGGTGGAGGGCCAGGTCGAGAGGGAAGAGGGCCATCAGTGAGGGAGACATGCACCTCATCCTTGACCTGCACAACAAGCTGCGGGGTCAGGTCCACCCTCCTGCCTCCAACATGGAATACATGGTAGGCCTAAGTGCTGAGGACACTGTTTACACGACAGTGTTGCTAAACATTTTTGAACCTTGGAATTTTTGATTTTAGTAAATATGTCACCATTAATATTGTAAACTACATTTGTCCCATGCTAGAAAATCATGCATGAAGCAAACATATGAGGCAATGTAAATCAGGATCTGGACTTTGCCCTTGTGACTGCATGCATACAGTATACATACACGAGAGAAGATTAGACACACCAGTCTACGATTGGGTCAGTATCTAGTGAACCTTGCCAAATCTGAGAGGTTTGACATTAAAGTCACAAGTTTTTCTCAGAGAAAGCACTTTCCTGACTCTGCCAGTATGGCTCTGTCAGCTAAAGTCAGCGTAGAAGGGAATCAAGACAGAGAGAACGAGATCTGCAAGCCAAAGCCACCATCTGGCTAGCTCTAGCTCTTGCCTCCCGCTTGCCCGCCCTCGCTGACCCTGGCCCAAATCCAGCTTTCACCCCCGCAGTGTTGTCCTCCACTCTACCTCAAACAACCTACCCTCCCTCCCTCCCTCCCTCCCTCCCTGCCTTGCATCTCCTTACTCTCTCACTCCATTTCTCCTCCTGCTGAGTCTCTTTCTCCCTGCCTTGCTCCTTTGCTTTCTTGATTTCCAGCCTTAAAGGGTTTTCTCTCTGGCTTTTCTTCACCCTCCTCGTCTTTCGCATTCTCCCTTCGCCTCTTCTCTCCCCATCCATCGTAGCTCACTTAAACCCTGGCTGAGGCCAATGTTATCTTTTATTTGATCCTCCACGCATCTCATTTTGGGTGCCACAGCAGTGAATCTATTTCAAACATGTCGAGCCTCACCGTTTGAAGTGCGGGGCATGGTAGTGTAAATGTATGTTATGTACACTAATCCAGTGTTTCTTTAGCAAGGGATACTATTACTGATGATAATGATGTGGTAAGGCAATGGACTGATGAGGGCCAAGTATTCGGTTTTCAGATTGCAGGATTTGGAGGCCAAAGGGGCTGCTCTTTCATTTTAGCTTTGACTCTTTAACTTCATACAAAAGCGATTCAGCAAATGCCTTTAAAGCACTGTTGCGTCTGTTAATCTAAAGTACGTCACTTCTTGCCCATCAGATTTTCCTGAGAAACAGAGACCTCATTAAAGGTTACCATAATCACAACCACTTTCTATACTGCAGGTTGAATTACAGGCATTTACGTGAAACATTTTGCATACTTTAAATTCCAAATGCAAAGGATGGCTTCTTGTTTTCTTCTTCAATATTTTTTTTTTGCAAAGAGCTACCTTGAGCATTCACCCTAAAATCTACTGCTTTAAGACTGCACCTCTTACACGCAGAGGTGGTCCTGGCAGATGGCTGGAAACAGCTCTGTTTTTTGGGAACTTAATGCTCTTTGGAATGCAAAAGGAGATTGGAAGTTGTTACCCTGACCTTTCTCCAAAGGCTGGCGGGCAGTCCATCTTCCTCTCTGCTGGATAATTGAGGGAGAAGAATAACAAGAACATGGAGAGAATAATGAACTGGTGGAGATCATTAGAATCTGCTGTATTTGTTTGCAGTGAAAGCTTTGTGCTGAACTCAAATTTCATTATAACCTGTAAAAGTAAAAGTGAAAGATGGGCTGTGCAGGTGGGCAGTATTGCCTTAGAAGTAGAGGTAAGGGTTCAGTGTGCTTCATAGGTCCTACGAGGAGTTGTCTGAACACGTCTAAGACCGTCATAGAGAGGAGCAAGCAAGTGGGAACCTTCCATGTCATCGCCAATTGGTTTTTGAACAGCTCTTCTTTCAATGATGAAATACAGTCCAGTTTTTGATATAACTGATGCTAGCAGTATTTAAGTCACACCTAGTGCCCACCCCCGTAGCTGCCAGTTATTAAAGAACGCTGACGCTTCTGTACCATTGTAGTTTGACCACATAGATTATGTCACATTGTAGTCAAATATGTGGAAGCACACATTCGTCGTAGGTGGATTTGTAACATGAATGGGTAATTATACAGTTTCACTATACAGTACTATACATTATTCACAGTTACACTCAAGATAGTTGAGATGGAGGATCAAATAATTGTTACCATGATACCTTTTCCATGATAATCCTGTCACAAACTGCTCTTTCAATGTCCGGTAAAACCTCAAATTCATTTACTCAAACATGCGTTCCTAGATTATATTTGTACATGTTGATATTGCCTGCAGCAACATGCTCCTCAAAGCGAGTAGGAGAAACTATAGATTAAAGATCACCAACATTTAAATGATATGACTTCTACTTAACAACTACAATAGTGTAATGATCATGTAAAAATATAGTATCACATTAGAATCATGCAGGAGTTCAAAACAGAAAATCACCTCACTGTTGGATTGTGGCCATAGAAGTAAAGAGTCAAAATATCACTTCTCCAATCAGGCCTGAACAGAAAGCAGCACCACCGTGAATGGGCAACAGTGTGCACAGTGTATTAGCCCTACCAAACATGTGGAACACATTATGGTGGTCAATCAGAGCAGTTACTCCAACTCCACACTTCAGCATTATCCCATTAGTTTTGACGTGTGATAGGCATAATTTAACCAAACAATATGCCAACAGCAGAGCACACTGCACCCATTCTTCTCCCTCCCCAACAAAGTCAATTAGTAATCAGTAAATTAACTTAGCCGCAACATTTGAATTGCTCAATATCATACCCACAGTCTGCTTTCCTGGTTTGTTCAAAACAAGAGGTGTGTGATTCGTTTTTTTTAGGTATTTTGAGCCTCCAAACAGAGGCTCTCTGTTTTGGTAGCTTTTTTTTTTGGTCAGCTTTTTCTCTCTCAGCTTGTTTTATGAGACCAAAACTTACTGGAAACAAGCTATGAAACAACCACATTGAATACTAGCACAAAGCTGCAAGTTGATGTGGTGGGGGTGATACCTCTCTGTTTCCTTTCTCTCTCATGCATGTGTCTACGTGTAAGAGAGTGAATGTGTGTGTTTAATAGGAGAGGCCTAGTTTTGACTATACTGTGTTAAATTTGCGAGAGGCATGCGCACAGCCACTGCACTTTAAAGTAAGGAGCAGTGCATCTTTCAGGTTGACTTTGCCTCCAGTATGTAAGGTTACTTTCAGATTAGTTTCAGTGGAATTTTTGGTAGTTTAGTTCCCTCGAAGAGAATGAGGAGATATCTGAAAAATTTAATGAGTGGCAATTAAAGCCGCAACTACGGTAAGTGGCCACTTAACCCACTTCAATGGTGAGGGTAATCCAGAGTGGAGTTTGAGGTCTGCAAACATCTGTTGGAGGCAAAGCTGCTCTGGACTCATTGAGTTTAACCTGGAGCCCAAGAGAATACTAATATAACCAAACTTAATGCTTTAGCTGCCAGCTGTAAAAAGAAAAATTTAAAAAAAAGTTAGCCACCTACCCTGGCTGACCTCCAGAGGTGACTTAGTTCATCTTTCCAGAGGCAAATAACTTTTAAACCAAGAACGTGTGTGTGTCATTCTGAGTGTGTGTGTGTGTGTGTGTTTGTTTGCTCCCCAGGTATGGGATTATGAGTTAGAGAGGAGCGCAGAGCACTGGGCACATACCTGCCGATGGGAACATGGACCGAGCCACATGTTGACACAAATAGGTCAAAACCTTGGAGCGCACTGGGGCAGGTGTGTATGTGCAAGTGTGTGTCAGTAAAATGAGGTTTTATACAAGAGTATTATGTTAAGAATAATGTTGTGTTTTCCTGCACCTTTTCCACATCAGTGTAATACCAAAATGCATTTTAATAACAAACAAACGTGCCTTTTGTTAAGATCGTTTCCAAGCCTCACAACTCAGAATGTAGATGTAAATGGAATGCGGCCATTGCTAATGTGGCATTGCTACATGTCTTTAATATATATATTCTCATCGTCATTTATTGTTTTTTTGGAGTTAAAAATTAAAGCATACAGTATCAGATCTTTTGTATGACTTTAGGGACCGCCCCCCTACATACCACGTCCAGGCCTGGTATGATGAGGTGAGGTACTACAGCTATCCCTACTCCCAGGAGTGTAACCCACACTGCCCATTCAGATGTTCAGGACCTGTTTGTACTCACTACACTCAGGTAAGGGCTTCTGGATTTCCATGTCTTAAAGGGTTAACAATGCCTTTGGATCATTTTTGGCTCTTTAAAGCACAATATTAAAACTTCCCAATTAAAAAAAAACTTAAAACTTGAAAAAAAAAAAATGGAACATGAAAAAATCTAATATGTAACTATACCCACACAGATGTTTATAGTTATTCTGGCATCTGATCCAAGAAGTGATCACCCGCTAAAATGAGTAAAAACACCTGTGTGGATATACTGAGGGTGTTTAGTGGCATCAGTTTGATAAAAACAGGACCAATCTTAGTTATTAGTTAAGTTATTAAAGCTTAACAGTATTGGTAGTGTAAGATTTGCATGTACAGAAACAATGTAAAATCAGGCTGTAATACACAATGCTTACACTTGATTGCCGCATTTTGAAAATTCAGCTACAAGATTTACTCTGTGTGTGTTTTTGTGTTCTTAAATTTTCAGTTGGTGTGGGCGACAAGCAATCGTATTGGCTGTGCAATCAATGTGTGTTACAACATGAACGTGTGGGGAATGATCTGGGCTAAGGCTGTCTATCTGGTCTGCAACTACTCGCCACCGTATGTGTTTGCTTCTTTCTATCCCATGTGATACACCTCAAAATAACACATTTTTCATTACTATAATGATACAAACAAGATACAACACATGAACAGTAATTAAAGCTGCAGTAGGTGATTTTTTATAAAAATACGTTTGTGTCATATTTTCTGAAACTTTCACTTTATCCTG